CCTCTATCTCGTTGACTTCCTTTTCTGGTGAGGCCTGCTTTTCTTTCATATGCGGGCTGTGTCTTGGTCTCCCCATGATCTAGGATGTCTGGTTGTGTAGTTCTCTCTCTCCTGCTTTGATTTAAAGGCTCCAAATACAACACAACCAGGTACAACACACAGGGGACTGAATCGGGATGAGTTTGAAATATTAATAACCACCAATAAGGGTGACTAGAACCCAGCTAGCAAAAACATACAATCAAACAAAAAGCATATCAAATCAATCTTATAAACAAAAGCATACAACTTCAGTATAGTTAACATTCAACATACCACTTCAAAGTGTTAGAGAGAAAGACTTTTGTTTTGTTTTGTTTTTAGGACAACTGCGAGGGAGGTGTGAATGGGCTCGGAGCAAGTAGTTGGAGATTAGATATATAGAAGTAGGGTGAAATTTTAGGAGGGGGTAGACAGAAGGAATGGGGAAAATCTAGAGCAGGAAAGGGTTAAGATAAACGGGGTACCAAAGGAAAATATCAGAAAGAGGGTGAAGGCATAAAGGATAGGTTGAGATAGAATAAAGCGTTGGAGAAGGAAAGATAGATGAAGCCTGTAGAACAGTAATCCTGAAATAAAAAAAAATATATATATAATCAAATGAAATAAAAATAGTAAAAATAAACAAAAAATAAGATGAAAAAGGTAACTTAGTAGTAGTACAATGTAGTAATTATAAAGATAAAATCAAGTGAGGAAAAAGAAAAAAAATAGTTTCTTGAGTAAACGTTGCAAATAATGAAAACAAAAATAAAAAACAAAAATTTAAAAAATTAAAAAAAGTGATAAAATTTAAAAAATTTAAATAAAATTTGCAGTAATGAAGGTCATTCGCTTCCTCTATTGTTATGATCCAGTCCTGATTTTTAGGCAGGTTTTGCTTTGTTTTTATTACACTAGAGTCAATTTGTGAATTAGCCTCTGGGGGCAGTGTTTCTAGGTTGACTTCCCAGACTCTAGAGCCTCTCCAGCTTTTTTTTTTTTTTTTTTCGTCCTCTCTGAAGCAGGAACTACGGAGGGGGGAGGGGGCAGGTCCGAGCAACCTCAATCTCCTGCAACTCTCCGATACCCCTCCGCGCCAGATCCAAATGTGTTGCTCTTTAGATATCTCCCCTGTTAGGAGCCCCGTCCGCTTTCACGGGTGACGCCCGCCCAACAGCGGGGCTTCTACTTGTAATCGCCGCCCTTGTCCTCCAGCTTCCGCGTTCTGTGCGCAGGCTTTGTTTTCGCCGCGAGTGCGCTCCACCCTCTCCCCGCGAAATCTGACCTTTTCGCCGAGCAGTGGGGCACTCCTGTGGGGCCAGGTGTTCGCGCCGCCTGGGATCCGCGTTCTGGGGGTCACAGTTGCTTGTTGGTCGCTGCGGCTGTTGATATTCAGGCCTCTGACACGATCCTATCTTCCTCTCAAGATGGCGAGGTTTCCCTATCCAAGCCGCCAGGTAGCTCCGGGCAGGGACGCAGCTCGCGTGGGTGCTTCCCTGTGAGGGGTACCTCTGTCAGCAGCCCCCCAGCAGATTCTTCTGGTGTTCGCTGTCTCCCAGCTTGCTAATAAACACTCACAGCTCAAGACCATCAGTTGCTCTCTCTTTCTGCTTCGGGAGAGGGCTCAGAATCCGCCCATCTATTCTTCCGCCATCTTCCCTCTCACCTTTTAGAAACTTCTTGAGAAAGTGTATTCGGTCAATGCATTTTTGAGGCATTCTTCATTATTAAATTTTTTTCCAAGAAGAAAGTTTTGCAAAGAACGAAACAAATGGTAATCGGAAGGGGCAATATCAGGAGAATATGCAGGTCGAGGGAGAACTTCCCATTCCAACTGGCACAGTTTTTCAGCAGTGATTCTTGCAGTATGCGGTTGTGCGTTATCGTGGTGAAGAATTACGCCCTTCCGATTAATCAGCGTGGGTTCTTTTTCTCTTAAAGCTTGGGCTAACCTTTTCAATTGGGCACTATACACTGCACTTGTAATGGTTTGGTTAGATGGTCAAAGTTCATAATGAAGAATTCCTTTAAAATTCCACCAAACACACAACATCACTTTTTTCGCATGCAAGTCAGGTTTTGGCATGGGCTGCGGAGCCTCATTTTTGTCCAACCATTGAGGCCGCCTTTTCAAATTAACATACAGCACCCATTTGTCATCTCCGGTAACAATTTGCTCTAAAAACAGCAAACGGTTTTGACGAGAGAGGAGCAAACTGCAAATTGTGACTCTTTGATTACGGTTGTTGTCGGTCAACTCATGAGGAACCCATTTTCCAAACTTTTGGACTTTGCCAAGTGCACGCAATTGATTGGAAATTGTTTTTTGTGAACAATTTAAAGTTGTCGCAAGCTCTTGTTGGGTAATTTGAGGATTTTGCACCAAAAGAGCTTGAAGAGCTTCTTGATCAAAATTGGACACACGGCCTCGACCACTCTTGTCATCTAACGAAAAATTGCCCTCGCGAAATTTCTCAAACCAACGCTGGCATTTTCTGGCACTAACTGCATCTTGACCAAGAGCACTACAGATGTTTTTTGCAGCCTCACTTGCTTTTCTTCCTAATTGTAACTCGTAAAGCATGCAGTGCCGAATATGCTCTTCATCCGCCATCTTCTTTTTGCAACAAAAACCAAACCAAACTAAACACAAACTTTTTCAAGCAAAACTTGTTAATTGCACTTCACACGTTCTGTAGATACCACGTGTTTGAAGGTTATGTCAATACAAGTCAACGCCAAGCAAGATTTTTAACGAATGTTTAAAAACGACATTAATTATTACTAGACCCAATAGAAAAAGTATTCACATATATAAAAGGCTCAGAAACAGACTCACATATATAGAGGAATCTAGTATAATAGAAATTGGCATTAAAGAAAGAGGATATTATTTAATCAATAGTGCTTTGGAAATTAAATAGTTTACATAGATAACATTGTTAGACCTCCTACCTCATATAAAATATAAAGTTCAAGTTGAATAAATATTGTATTTTATAAGTAATAAAGCTGATAGAAGAAAATGTAATAGAAGCTGGACAGAGAAGAGAAAATTTTTTAATCCAAAGCAAACAGAAAGAAGATATACTGAAGATAAAAATGGAAATCAATGAAATAGAAAATAAAAAGCAATAGAGAAAATGAAAACAAAATTTAGGTACTTTCAAAAGATCAGTTAAATTTAGTAAACCTCGATAAACACTGATTAAGAAAAGAAGAGAGAAGACAGAAAATACCAATAACAAGAAAGAGAGAAGGCATCCTTCAGGCAATAAGAGGATAAATAAAGTATTATTATGGAAAAAATTTCATGTAGAACTAACTCTAAGTGAATAGAGCAAAATCCTACTAAATTTTTCAGTAAATTACACAGCCAACGAAACCACAGTCTCTCCTGGTCTGGCTGTTTGGCCTCTTAAGCAACCCCCAATCTCTTGAGCCCATGCTAACGGGAAACAGGCTGTGAAAGTTGTGAAGCCCCCAAGGAAGGCACGTTCTCCAGCATCTCCTTTCAATGTGCACACGGAGGACAATGGCAGGAACAACCTGGAAGACACAGGTCCAGCTTCCAGAAAACAACAGACCAGGAGTCCCTCCTCAAGCAGAACCAGAGTCCAGCAGATCATCACCTCCTGCCTCCAGCTCAGGGAGCCTCACAGCCACGCCCGGCAGGATGCGGCGGTCACTAGAACCGATGGCCACTATGCATTTTGTGTGCTTCCCTTTTGTAAGTGTGAGTTTGTATTGCAGTTATCTTACTCCAACCAGCAATGTTGGTTGTGGAGGAGGGCAGACAACTTGCAATTATAAGAATCCTCATCCAATCTTGACGGAGGGGACTCATACCACCCAGATGTCATGGACTTTTAAGCTGCATGATGTAACCGGATATGGTGTTTTCAAAGTCTTCCTTTGGCAGAGGGCGCATGTTTTCTATGTGAAGAGAACTCATGGATATTGGGGTGGCAGAAAGGCAGCAGTGACAGCTATTCACAAACATCTCTCCTCTCTTTCATTGCATGATGGTTTTAGCTGGGCATAGGGCCACCCAGCTAGAGTAACATTTTTAGCCCCTTAGAAGCTAGGTGTGACCACATGACCGAGTCCCACAAATAGCAGGTGGGAAGAAATGATGCCTGCTTTTCTGAGTCATGCCCTTTAAAGGAATGTATGTGTATGTACTCCTCTTGCCTTTCTCTCTGCCCCCTGGCTGCATACAGATGTGATGGTGTCAGGCCAGGCAGCCACCTTAGACCAGAGATTGAAGGCAGGTGTTAAGAAAGACAAGTTTCCACCAAAACCAGTTTGGCTCAGAGAATAGAGCGTCAGCTTATGGACTGAAGGGTCCCAGGTTCAATTCCGGTCAAGGGCATGTACCTTGGTTGCGGGCATATCTCTGGTAGGAGGTATGCAAGAGGCAGCTGATCTCTCTCTCTCTCATCAATGTTTCTAACTCTCTAACTCTCTCCCTCCTCTCTGTAAAAAATCAATAATATATATATATATACAGGCCCGGAGCAGCCGGTCCCAGAGCAGCCTGGTCGGGAGCAGCTTCTTTCATGTGAGACAGTGTAGTGAGCTCAATAGTAACCCCAAAAGATTAGGTTCAAGTCCTAACCCTCCAACACCTGTACATGTGACCTCATTTGGGAAAAGGCTCTTTGCAGATGTCATCAATGTCCTCACGATGAGATCTTCCTAGGTTGAGATGTGCCTCAAGTCAGAGGCTGCTGTCTTAGAAGAGAAAGAGGGCGATCTGAGACACAGGGCAAAGGCCAGTGAAGACAAGCCACGGGACCGGGCGAGGCCTGGGACAGAGTCCTCTCCAGAGCTTTCCGAAGGCACCATGTTTATTTAGGATTTCTGGCCCCCAGAACTGTGAAACAAGTAGTTTCTGTTGTGTTAAAACACCCAGTTTGCAGTAGTTTGTTACAGCACCTACAGGAGACTAATACGAACAGAAAGCAGGGACTTACTTTCGCGGTGCCACAGGCTCCCCAGCGGCTGGGCGGAGCTGTGGTTCCGGGCAGAGCCCAGGGCGCTGTGGAGAGCCTGCGTGTTGATGTAGCAGGGGTCGTCGAAGAGATCCACTCGGCAGGTGTGCTTCATTAACGAGGCGTCTCTTGGGGATGGCACTGCTCTCTCGTGGGCATTACCTGTAGTGATTAGTTGTGATCAGGGTATCGCGTTCTACTTTGCAAACAATAAATGAAACCATATTTGAGTGTAGAAATGATAGGAAGTCAAAAGCCACCCTCATCTCCTCCTAGGATTGAATATCAACCTTTAAGTTTGACCTGAAGAATGAAGATAAGCTCTGGTCTTTTGAGAAAAAGCTCCCTCTCGTTGGTCTCCCTGCCCCACGGCTTCAAACAGACAGAAAAGGAGCAGGAAGATCCCAAAGAACAGCCAGGCAGGAAAAAGGCTGACTGTCCAGCAGACAGACAAACTGGCAGACAACACTGCTCAGAGCTGCAGTCCAGAACCAAAAAAACACACGTGCTACCACATGGAAGCTGAATGCCAATTATTCAAACTCCTTTTCAAAAGAATCATTCCTTGATTTGAAATAATTTAGAGCAGGAATGGGAAGCCTTTCTCCTCTCTATGCTCAGTTTTGTTCTGCCCAGCACAGCCTTGCAGCAAGAACTGGTGTTTCTGCTGTGTTTTTTGTTTTTTGTTTTATTAGAAAGAACACACCCCTCAGATTATCTCCTCCACCTCCCTGACTCCATCCTCTCCTCTCCATTCTATTCTGCACATTGTGGCCAAAATGACCTTTTTAGAACTAAAAATCTCATTATATTTCTCAGAGGTTCAAAATCCTTTAATTCCTCCCATTGTATCTATAATAATAAAAGAATAATATGCTAATTAGACTGGACATCATTCTGATTGTCCTTCCTGACCAATCCAGGGCTGGAGGGAAGCCAGCCCCAATCCTCAGTGCCTGCGAGTGGCCCAAGGGAAGCCAACCTGGGTCTGGGTACTGGAGGGAAGCCAATGCCGGCAGCCCGGGGAAGGAAGGCCTAGTCTTACATGAAGAATTTCCAGATAAAACTCAAAGTTTTCAACAAGCCCGTGGCCCTACTCCTGGCCACCCAGCTTCCCTTGTAACCCCTCTTGCCCCTCACATTGGCCTTCTTACAGTAGGATCCCCACCACAAGGCCATCTTCTCTGATTGACATGCTTTTCTCTCCCCTCCCCCATCATCCTCATCCTTCAGGTGTCAGTTCAAACCTCACTTTCCCAAAAGACCTTCTCAGAGTAGGCTCAGTCTCTGCTTTCCTAGCAGTCTGTCCTTGACCTTTGGAGTCCCTATCACAAGAGTAATACATTTTGTTGCTTACGTTATTATTATTATTATTATTTATTTATTTTTATTTTTATTTTTTTTACAGAGAGGAAGAGAGAGGGATAGAGAGTTAGAAACATAAATGAGAGAGAATCATCGATCAGCTGCCTCTTGCACACCCCCTCCTGGGGATGTGCCCACAACCCAGGTACATGCGCTTAACCAGAATCAAACCTGGGACCTATCAGTCCGCAGGCTGACGCTCTATCCACTGAGCCAAATCGGTTTCGGCACATTATTATTTTTTAATGTGTGAACTGTCTCTAGACTGCGTGTTCCATGAGGACAGGGATCCCATCTGTCTTGTTCACAGCTGCTACTCCTGCTTCTAGCACATGCCTGGCACATAGAATGCCATCAACCACGTTACTGGATGAATGCATATTAGCACCACAGCTCACTACCAGAGGGCAGGTAGTTCAAGCACTTTGTACCATCCAGATGGTTCTGACTTGAGAATGCCAGGATGGAATTTTCTTTTGCTTTGCTATTGAAACCAGTACATTTATAGTTTTGGCCACGGGCGCTACGAGATCACCAAGATGCACATGAAGTGGTGGCAGTGGCATTCCATCATCCCACCATAAAACAACATCAGTTCTTCTGTTGTTTTAGTCACTAAGCCCCTCCCTTGTGTCCGAAAAAAGACCAATTTCATATTGGACTTCACATCACAGTGAATAGTGCCATGATTGTTGTATTGCAAAGCATGGGAACCCGAGAGTGCACCGACTCGGGGAAGCCTAACCGGAAGACAAAACTCTTAATACCTGTGCACCTTGTCTATCAGGGTCACATGTCACCTTGTGCCGTGTCATATTCTATACATGGGCTACCCTGAGGGAGGAGTGGGATTTCCAGAGGGAGGCATTGGCAAGGCACCTCATTTGTTTGCAGCACATGACAATTTGCATCTGCTTGGTTAAGTGGATTTATGAAGTGTGTTATCTCGTTTAAACTAAACTTACTTTCACAAATAGTTAAGTGGCTAAAAGATCACTGCAAAGAAATCAAGAATTGAAGACTATCCTTCTTAGTACAAGCTCCTCCTTAGCTGCATTAGAGCTTATGAGAATAATATAATTAGGTGCAAAGTTTGATCTACCAAAAGTTAAAATTATTGAGATTTGAAATGTGGATTTATGTCAATTTTATTGATCAATAAAAGATTTAAATATTTATTGGGCCTTGATGTTATCTAATGATAGTATTCAGCCAATGTAATTAGCAAGACATTTTTAGAAAATGTTTATCATTAACTCTATCTTCAAAATTTTCTATTTTTGTGTGTTTTATATTAGTATATATAAATATATTAGTATGCATGTCGATAACTTATATCGATACATAACTAAATCACCATTTATTTAGGAGTGCCTGCTCATAAAACTTTACTGAAAGTGGAATATGATCAAAAGTGTTTGCAAGCAGCGTGCTTCTGAATGAACAGGAACCTCACTTCAGACCCCTGTGTTATAGCTTACTATTTCTGTGGTGTGAGGCATGCCACTTAACTTCTCCAAGTATCAGTTTTCATATTTGTAAAATGAGGGTGCCTTGCTTAAAATATGGTTGTGATGATTAAATGAAAAAATGTGGCTGAGATTCTGACTACGGTAAGCATAAAGCCTGCCTCCTAGTAGGCATACAATAAGAGGTTCCTATCAATGCTCAGTGTGTATTTATTCATTGATTCTGGGTCTTTGCACACAGTACTTAATTCCTACTGTAATAGCCACCTGTCCCTTTGCTTTTTATAATATATTTTTATTTATTTCAGAGAGGAAGGTAGAGGGAGAGATAGAAAACCTCAATGATGAGAGAGAATCATTGACTGGATGCCTCCTGCACACCCCTACTAGGGATGGAGCCCACAACCCAGGCATGTGCCTTGACTGGGAATTAAACTGTGACTTCCTGATTCATAAGTCGATGCTTAACCACTGAGCCACAGTGGCCGGGCCCCATCCCTTTCTTGACTTAACTTCCATTTATCTTGTAAGATTCTGCTCTGAATCCACCTCCTTTAGGAAGCCTGCCGGTAAGTTCCTCCCTTCCTCAGGCTGGACAAGGTAGGTGCCACTCTCTGATACACTGAAGGCATCTGCTTACTTGTCTGTTTTCCCCTTGAGAGTAAAAATTCCTTGAATCCACTTATCTGTGTACCTGCTGCATCTTCAATGTCTGGTCAAAAGCAGATGCTCAAAAGAAAAATGTCTGTCAGCTGAATGAGCAGATGACTGAGTGTCGACCCAGGTTGACCCCACCACAATCTAAAGATCCAGAGCCGGCCTTCAGCACAGGGCGCTGCTCGTCTGCCCCTCATGGAGCACTGGCATGCGCTCACCACCCCAAGTCTGCCATCCCACAGGCTGGCACAAAAGCGCCCATGTCCTCACCCAGTCTTTCCTGAAAACTACCATTTTTTTTTTCAAATTTGCCATTATATTTAAGTCAGCAATGTTGTCTTAAATTAAATATATATATCATCCATTACTCAGATTTAAAATCTTTCTAGGGAGAAGCTTACCCACACCTGCCAGCTGCTCTGCAGGCCAAAAGTCCTCTGTGCCAAGTACGACCAAGAACCATCCAACCAGCCCAAGAGGAGGTTTCTGGCAGAATGCACTAGTAAGTACACACACGATGTGTACATTGTAAGTACTAAGAGTTTTAAGTAGAATTTGTGGGAATTTAACATCTTTTTTATTAAAACTATCAACATTCCCATTTTAAAGTTAAGGTTGGGGAAACATCTTATTTTGCTATTTCTTTCCATAAGGGAATTTATTATTAAAGATAGAGATATTTTATACATCTGGAAATAAATACAATTAACTCCTTCAACAACCAAAAGCCTGTTACAGTATTTATAATACACTGGGATTCAAGTTTTAAGTCAATATTTGAATAAATCAATGTCTTGGGAGGAAAAAACCAACCCTTATTAAAAATATTTGTATAGGTGTCTCCCAAATGCTTATGTATGAATCTCTGGGGAAAACCATAAAAATGTCTATTTTCTATTCTGGTAACTGCTATTAATTTGCTCACTGGTCAAGAATTTCAGATCACTTTTTAAACATATGCCTAATGCAGACTCAAGGTAGGAACACCTGATTCCTGTGTGTCCATGAATGAAAGGATAACGAGTTAGGGACGTCCTTCCTGCCACAACAGAAAGAACCACACTTGTCATGCCCCTGTGCAGGGCTGACTCTTTCTAGCCCCATGGTCCCAGGGAGCTGCCTAGTATTCTGGTTCCCACTGGAAGTAAGGAAACTGCTTTTTTAAAAGAAACAATGTTGTAGCTCAGTGCTTGACCTACAGGACAGTAAGGAGGCATTGAGTAAATTGTTGAAGAAATCCTATATAATAAAAGCCTAATATGCTAAGTGTCCAGTCATCTGGTCGGCCATTCAACCAATCAAAGCGTAATCTACTAATGATATGCTAAGGCTGCTCAACCAGTCGCTATTACATTCACTGACCACCAGGGGACAGACAGTTGACCAGTAGACCAGTCAATATGATGATCACTGACCACTAGGGAGCAAACACTCTGACCAGTAGGTTAATTTGCTGCTGGGGTCCAGCTGATTGGGATTAAGTGAGATGGGCTGGACATGCCTTGTAGCCTTCCTGTGGTCCCTCCCCAGCTGGTCAACTTCCCATGTCCCTCCCCAGCTCCTATCATGCACTGGTGGGGTCCCTCATCCTGGCCTGTGCCCTCTTGCAATCTGGGACACCTCGGAAAATGTCAGAGAGCCAGATTTAGCCAACGGCAAAATGACCATTCGCTACAATGTGCACTGACCACCAGGGGGCAGACACTCAACACAGGAGTTGCCCCCTGGTGATCAGTGTGCTCCCACAGGGGGAGCAACCCCTCAGCCAAAAGCCAGGCTCATGGCTGGCAAGAGCCTCTCCCACCTCCGCGGCACACTAAGCCGTCAGTCAGACATCCCCCAAGAGTTCCTGGATTGTGAGAGGGCACAGACCAGGCTGAGTCCCCCCCCCCACGTGCACAAATTTCAGGCACCGGGCCTCTAGTGAAGACTATACAATGAGATCAAGGCAGAGCATGGCGACAGTTCCATGGAGTGTCAGCACAGGTGGAAAATGGGGTCCTTAGGTGAGGGGTTTCCAGAGAAAGGGAAAGGAGGGAGGGAGGGAGCAATTATAGCTCACAGGGAGCAAAGTTTTATTTTTTTTTAAATCTCCACCCAAGGATATTTTTCCCCATTGATTTTTAGAGAGAATCGAAGGAATGGGGAGAGACATAGAGAGAGAAATATCTATGTGAGAGAGACACATCGATCAGTTACCTCCCACACACACCCCAACCAGAGTCAGGGATGGAGCCTGCAACCAAGACACATGTCCTTGACCAGAATTGAACCTGAACCCTTCAGTCCACAGGACGACGCTCTATCCACTGAGCCAAACTGGTTAGGGCAGGGAGCATAGTGTTAAAAAGACATTTACCATTCATCTATAATAATTTGTTTTAGTTGGATCATTAAGAATTTGCTTAAACATTTACATAACTTTAAAGAATAGCATGAATTTTTAATTTCTATCAAAAGAAGCCATGCTTTCGAAGAATTTTAATTACTGCATTACTCACTACTCCTAGTATTTTTTTCAGGTTGGGGGAAGGTGGTAATCACAGCTATACCCAAAACAATAAATCCTCATACTGTCCCCACTGCATAAAAATAACAAAATTAATAGATTACATTGGCTTAATCCCATCAGAAATACCAAAGGATCCTAGGGAATTGACTGCCTTCTACAGGGCAAGTTCCTGCTAATTTCCTTAGCGTGCCTCACATGTGGTCACCCAGCTCTCCCCTCTCCTCAGTGTATCATTTTCACTGTCCAGTTACCTCCCCCTGCAAAGCTGCAAAACTTTCCTTCCCTAATGAACACATTAATGAATGCATGAAATGGCTATCTGTCCGTATACCTTGTTTTTATGAAAATAGTTTCCAGCCTGCGAATGGCCACCCTGCACCTGTGCCTCAGAGAAGCTGCGCCCTGTGTCAACAACCACAAACCGTCATCAGACATTTAACGCCCCGGCAGGCCTGGGGTGGGTGGGCCCGGGATCGGGACTCACGCTTCAGATTTCTCTTTGTTCCCTTTGCCGAGCAGAAATAAAGGTTCTCTCTAAATCCGGGTGGATTTGACAAGCACTCATTTTCGCATTAGCCCGCTGCCTGATCTTCGGAGCGGGAGTCAGAGAAAGCACCTTTCCAGGGCGAGCCTTTGTGTCAGAGCCACGAGAGGCTCCGTGAGACAGGAGGACGGTGTGACGGAGGCGGAAACATGAGCCTCCAGAGGGACCCGCATGCAGCCCCCGGGGTCCCTCAGCATGCAGAAGCCTGTAGCTGAGGCAGAATGTGTTCCATATATGCACCTGCCTTTCTTTCTTTCTTTTTTTTTTTAAATATATATTTTATTGATATTTTACAGAGGGGAGGAAGGGAGAGAGATAGAGAGCTAGAAACATCCATGAAAGAGAAACATCGACCAGCTGCCCCTTGCACACCCCCTACAGGGCATGTGCCCACAACCAATGTACATGCCTTTGACCGGAATCGAACCTGGGACCTTTCAGTCCGCAGACCGATGCTCTACCACTGAGCCAAACCGGTTTCGGCTGCACCTGCCTTTCCCATCCAGTGTTACAGCAAGGTCCTCACATGACCAGGTGACATGAAAGGAGTAGGGAGGGTGGCTGATGGGGAAAGGCGACTGTACCTACCGATGGCCCTGCTTTGCTCCAAACAGTTCTCATAGACGTTGCTGCACTCGGAGTTCCCAGGCTGCAGGGACAAACACCTCGTGAGACATTTACAATCGTAGCATCCGTTCCTGAACTTCCCCAAAATACACAAAGCAGCAATCACACTCGCAGCAGACAACTTCACTTTGGGATAACAGGAAGTGCCTGGCAGGTGCAAAAAGGATACTGGGGTCTGGGGTGAGCAGTGTGGACTCCTTTCCATGGTGCGTTGTTGGGAGCCGCAGAGACGAGGGTGAGGGTCATCACGGCTGCCGCCACCAGGCACACCCTGAGGGACACTCCTGCTGGGAGCTCCCATTCCGGGACTCTGTCCAAGGCTCCATGAGAAGGTGTGATTTCCAGGACACTTGTCTAAACACCAGTCACTTGGCAAACCTCTGTCTAACCGTGAATGGCAGACGGCAGCCCTACTCTGCTGGGGCTTGTGCCAGGCACTTTCATCCTTAAACATCCCGTGCTCCCTTCAGTAACGGGACGGGATCCAGGGAGGCCTTCAAGAAGGGATGTCTGTGCTTTAGGAAGATAACCCAGCAGTTTCATGCTGGAGCATTTGGGGGCATGAAATTAGAGATAAAGAAGGGGCTTTCAGAATCATCTGGGCAACTGAGGACTAGAACTTAGAAAGATGTGGCTAGGAGTGGAAAAGGTTGGCTGTATTCAAAAGACATAGAACCTAGGTCTCTACAATGAGTAGATATAGGGGTCAATGTGTGAGGGAAATGAAAAAAAAATCTGTAGATCATTGAAAGAGTGGCAATGCCATGCTTTAACGTGAATAAATCAGGAGAGAACTCTGTATTGGAGTCCAGGAGAAAACATTCAGTTCAGTCTTGATATAAACAAACTTGGCATCACAGCCGAGAGAGGCAATAGCCGGAAGAAGTTGGAGGACCACATACACAGGTGTCAAGCCCCAGGGTCGTGCACTGGAGAGGGCCTTCCTGGTGGTGAGGCAGGGGCTTGGCTTCCCAGGGGGAGGAGATGCAAGAATACAAGACAGAAAAGAAAAGATGTAACGTACTTTGAAATGCATCAACCATAAGCTGGATGAATGGAGGATAGAGCTGCATAGGGTGACTGAGCAAATATAGAAAAATGTTAATGGGTGAATCTAGATGGTGAGTCTCTGAGTGTTCACCGTATAAGTCTACCACCTTGTCTGTATATTTGAAAATATTTAGAATAAAATTTGGAAAGCCTGACAAAAGAAAGAAAACAGCAACTAGGGATCAGCCTCACACCATGGAAATGTTTTAGGAGCTAACAGAGGAGGTCTAAGAAAACACAAGGCGGCCAACAGGTATCAAATGCTGGAGACAAATTCAGAATACTGAAGAAGGAAGGAGGTTTAGCAATTAACCATTGATGGCCAAAAAAAAAAAAAAAAAGAAAAGAAATTGGTGGCTACTGTAAAAGTACTTTCTCTCAAGTTGTCAAGTGGAATTCAGATCTTAAAAGTGTAGGTAAAGATAGTTGTGTGTGTTTTTTCCCCCCCACAAGTTTGTGGGTAAAAGAAAGAGGAGAGGTAGGACATTATCAGTTGGGTTGAAGGGGTCCAAGTTTCTGTGCAGACAGAAGGGAAGGAACCTGTAGACAGAGAGAGAATGCAGGTGGTGACAGAGGCTGGTGACAGAACAAGGGCGCAGAGTTGGTAGGATGGGTGGGTGGGATCAGGAGCCCTGGGGAAAGACCAGCTGTGGAGACAATAACTAAGGAAGAGAGGCAAGGAGAACGTAGGAAGACTTGGAGATGGGGAAAGAAGTTGAGGATAAAGTGTTGGACTGCCCTGGGGTTCCCAGTGAAGTGAGATGTGAGATCAGCTGCAGAGGCTGAGGTTGGGAATTGGAGTAAAAATGATCTTTGCCAGGCCCTGTCAATGATTCACGCTCTGGCTCAGTACTGAGGAAGACGATACTTTCTCTAAATTAGCATTTGGAAACCCACAAATGGTTAGGGAGATTTGGGGAAGATAAGAGATCAACCGAAGGACTTGTATACATGCATATAAGTACAACCAATGGACACAAAACTCTGGGGAGGAAGGGCATGAATGGGGGGGGAGGAGGCCAATGGTATACAAAGATAATAATTTAATAAAAAAAATTAAAAATAAAAAAATAAACTCTAGTGATAAAGACAGAGTCACTTTGCTAGTTCCAATCCTAATAAGACGTTACTTACCAAATAGCATAACTTTTCACACCGTATGGGGCAGTAAGCCATCTGTTCCGTGGTTTGAACTCTGACCCGCACGTCTGAAACACCACCCACAGGTGGCTGCTTTCCTGGTATTTCATTGTAATACTCATGATCGTCTCTCTCCTCAGCATGGCCATCAATATGCACCTCCTCACTGTAAGGCAAAAAAGAATCCCCAAGAGGCTGGGCGGGAATTCAAATGCTGTAGGGGATGCAGAGGGGTCAGAATCACGCAAATCATCCTGAAAAACACTGCATTCATGTTGTAAGTCCACAGATGTGCTTAAGCCATGTCAAACATCTGGATGGAAGCAACCAGATGGCTGAGTTGTTTAGATTTCTGTGGACAATTAAAGTGGGATAAGCCAACCAAAGTGACAAGGGGGATGCTTCTGTGTCTCCTTCCCACACCCAGGAATTAAAAAAATTTATATATATATATACACTCCCTGAATGTGAGACATTTTTTGTCAATGGTACATAAAAATACAAAGTTTTCCCAGGTACCTTTAGCATACTTTGTACCATTTCACAAATGCTTTGCTCAAAGAAAATGTAGCTATTGGGCACAGGGCCTGGCCCAGTTTAGTAAACCAAGAGGAAAATAATTAAAAAGCTCTGGCCAGCTACCTTGTCTACATAAGACTGCAGGAGTATGTGGGATTTATAAATATCAGAACCATATGTGGCAAGAGGGTAGACTGATGTAAACATGCGTTGTTTTTTTTAAATTGAAACAGGGCAAGAAAACAAGTGTACTTTTCTTCCAAATTGGAATTAGTAAACGTTTCTTATGAAAAAGAGTAAATCAAGTCCTTTTGGGTTGAGCCCATTCCACTGACAACACACACAGTTTTGTTGGGCTCATTACATGTCAGCACAGTGACAGCACTAAGCCTATAAGAGCCGCCCTGGGAGAAATTCAACATCGGCACCTTCTGGTAACCACCTCTCCTTTGCTGCCCTCAACCACCTCATAAAAGGTGAACTCCAAACCCAGTGTTTGTTCATACCCAAAATGACAAATTAGGGGAGAGATGCATTTAAAAGTGCCCAAGAGTTTTGTTTCTCAGGTGTGAATTCTGTAAACCAGGGGCCTCATCGCACTCCACCGGCCTGAACGCGTTCGGCTTTCATTGCAGCCTTTCTGTTCCTGAGACAGAACCACCAGATCCTTGGGTCACCATTTAGCTGGAGTTGACCTATTTGCACTGCAAACCAACAACCCAACAGGAATTCTTGCAGTAGACATTTGACTCTTACTATTTTGCTCTTCTTTCTCAATGAATTTTGTTTTTACTGATATGCTAGGGCTTTGGGGGTTGAAATAAATCTGAGAAATCTATTGATGTTTATTATTTTATGATGCTACTTAATTCATAGTGCTGTGTAACATCAGAGAAACATGGCTGATCCCTTCTCACTTTTAGTTTCTTATTTCATTTTATTACAAGCCAAGGAGCAATAGCTGGACAAATACGAATGGAAAAGAAAAATGGAAAATGCCATATTCATTTTAAAATTAAACAAAATATAGTAAGTAAATAATTACAGAACTGTTGGCTGACCTTTCACAGGAAGTACTCAAAGAAGGATTTTTCAAATATTGTTTAAACCGGAGCTCAAAAGCCTGCCCTATGGTAGTTATGACATCTTGGGCCATTCCGCTGCGGCATTCCAAAATGTGGCAGGCTGCAAAAGGATATAGATACAAAAAAATTATAACCAATTTTCAATAAGAGAAGATTATATGAAGTAAAAATACTTCCAGAATATGACTTGGTAATTGAATAAACAGGAGGAGGTACAAGCTCTCTTCAGCTCTGAAGTGGTATAACAAGACCTCATATATCTTTTAAAAATATATTTTATTGATTTTTTACAGAAAGGAAGGGAGAGAGTTAGAAATATCGATGAGAGAAACATCGATTAGCTGCCTCCTGCGGACCTTCTACTGGAGATGTGCCCGCAACCAAGGTACATGCCCTTGACCGGAATAAAAACCGGGACCCTTCAATCTGAAGGTTGATACTCTATCCACTAAGCCACACTGGTTTCGGGAAGACCTCAGATTTCATACACATCCAGGAGCAGGAACACGCATAGTCTATATCTAAATATCTCAAAACACAAATTCTAGTCTTGAGGCAGGTATTTTTGGAATAATCTTTGTAAAAGTAGTAGGACAATTTTGACGAATACTCAAGGTCGGTGTTAGCTCTGGAATTCAATATAAGAAATGCTTAGGACAGCAGTCTGCAGGGAAGAGGGGGTTTTCAGCCTTGTCCTGGCATGGGATGCTACAGAAAGCTGACAAAAGGTAACTTTCCAAACCTTTCCACCCATCTCCCCCAGAAGAGATATGAACACCTAGTGATGATAAGGCTTTAGAATATCCCTTCCTCTAGCCAACCCTTTGCCCTGTAGCTGCCTGTGATGGTCCGGAATCCCCATCATCGAACCTTATGAAAAAAACTACCTCCAATAAGCATCAGAATCAAGATTTTGTGAAGATGGCATTATCAGAAGATATTACACGTTTTAGTAGACACTTTCTCTGAGAAGCAGTTCCTGGGAAGCAAACTGGAGAAGCCAGTCGTGAAGGGGGCAGCTGCCAGAATGCCACCAACAAAGGAACTGGTGTTCAGGGGCTGGAAATCACTCTCCCCTCCATCAGGAATGCCATCCTACCCAGTGAGGAGTCGGTGCCAGGCTTAGGGCCTTGCAATAGGAAGATTTCATTGAATTGGAGGTTTCAGAAGAACGGCTTAGAAAGAGTCCTGAGGATGACTTCAAGATAGAGGCAATGTCTCGTGAGAAATTTTTTAAGATATATATTGGTTTGTATACAATTGGGAAAAAGCTTGATAAAGGTTAAATAGGTACATGAATGTTATAAAAACTCAGCTGTTCTCTGAGAACAAAAAAGATTGGGTGCTTGAAGAATTACGATGCTTTTCCAGTATCTAACCTACCATGTTTCCCCGAAAATAAGACAGTGTCTTATATTAATTTTTTCTCCCAAAGTTGCGCTAGGTCTTATTTTCAGGGGATGTCTTATTTTTCCATGCGCTAGGTCTTATTTTCGGAGGATGTCTTATTTTTGGGGAAACACGGTAGGTTAGATACTGGAAAAGCATCGTAGATCCTGGGAACCTTAAAACCAACACTGGGAGAATGAAAGAATGATTAAAGGGGACACAGGAGAGGAGAGGAGAGATGCCTGACTTTATGGAAGGGCTTAACTGTGTTGATGTGGAAGCTTTGCATTGTATTGGCCAGAATGTTGAATTTACTTAAAGTAAGAGGCAACTCATTCACCTGTGATTGAACTTGTAGAGCCTATAATAGTAGGTTATGGTAAAACCTACACTGATGTTTCTTAGCCAAGCATTGAAAATCATGTCAAGAAATGTCAGATGCTGCCCTAGCCTGTAGACTAAAGGGTCCCAGATTTAATTCTGGTCAAGGGCACATACCCAGGTTGCGGTCTTGATCCTCAGTGGGAGTCATGCAGGAGGCAACCAATCAATGGTTCTTTCTCATCATTGATGTTTCTATCTCTCTCTCCCTCTCCCTTCCTCTCTGAAATCAATAAAAATATATTTTAAAAAAGAAATGTCAGATAATTGTAATTTTAGATTAGTTTGATGTTTGTTTAAAGGATTTATGTCTGACTACTTTTGGAAGGGATGGGGGGCAGGGTGCTATTACAAAATCAAACAATGCTCAGGTGTCAAACCCCCAAAAGTTATTGAGCATTCCTTAAAAAGTTGTCCCTTTAAAGAAGCAACCTGGATCCTGAAGTAGACTAGGAGCTAATTACAGTGTTGAAAACACAAATTTTTCCTTTGAAAAAAACAAAGGAAAATGTTTTATCTAACTTTAGTCTGACATTTCATGGACCCTTCTTTTTCCCTAGTATCTTCACATAGCGACCAATGCATAAGTATTTCAAAAATATGTTTTGATGGAATAAATTCATATTTCCCCGATTCACATAAATAATTCTATTGTGAGGAATTGTCTTCAATTTTATTAAAATAAGACCCTCAGTGAGCCCCAGTAGTGGGCAGGTCCTTCCAGGATTGAATGGTGCAAGTGACTGCATGGTCTTTGGGTAAGGTGATCATATGTCCCGATTTTTAATAATTTGCCCTGTGTCCCGTGTCATTTTTTTAAAAATCCCGATGTTTTGAAAGATTCTTTTAAATCTTTTGGACTTTTTAAAAATGCTGTGGGACGCAGGACAAATTGTTAAAAATCGGGACTGTCCCACCAAAAGTGGGACGTCTGGTCACCTTGTTGGGGAATGTTCTCCTCCTTCCTGGTCAGGCCTTATAGCCTCAACCTACAAAATACCCTAGCTGAGCCAAAAAAAAAAAAAAAAAAAAAAGTGTGTTACATTGTGATTAAAGAAAAAAAAAAAAAAGGCAATTCACTTGAATTTTTTTGTTTTTCACCTCATAAATTCTTGGTCCAATTAAACATAAAGAAAAGATCAGAAATTATATGGAAATGGAGACAAAAAAATTGTAATTTTTAAAAAAAAATTTTTATAAAATATATATTTTATTGATTTTGTACAGAGAGAAAGGGAGAGAGCTAGAAAGCTAGAAACATCGATGAGAAGGAGTCATCGATCAGCTGCTTCTTGCACACCCCCCACTGGGGATATGCCCGCAACCAAGGTACATGCCCTTGACCGGAATCGAACCCGGGTCCCTTCAGTCCCCAAGCCGACGCTCTATCCACTGAGCCAAACCAGTCTCGGCATGTAATTTTATTTTTTCTTAGAATCAAGCAAGATATCTAAAGATAAACATGGTAAAGAAAGAATTCTCATCATTTGCAGCAACCTGGATGGAATTGGAGAACATCATGCTGAGTGAAATAAGCCAGCCAGTCAATCAATGAAAGAGAAACACCACATGACCTTACTCATTTTTGGATAATAAAGAACATTATAAACCAATGAGCCAAAAGATAGATATAGAGACAGTAAAGCAACAAGCAGACTGTCAAATTACAGCAGGGAGGGTAGGGAGATCTGAGGAAGGTAAGAGATCAACCGAAGGACTTGTATACATGCATATAAGTACAACCAATGGACACAAAACTCTAGGGAGGGAGGACATGTATGGGGGGGGGGTTGCAATGGTATATGTACAGAGATAATAACTTAATTAAAAAAAAATAAAGATAAAGATAAACATGGGGAAGATAATGAGAGAGGCAGAAAATTTAAATATAAATAAATGAATAAATGAAAGGGAGAAGGAAAGAAAGGAGAGAGGGAGGAAAGGAGGAAGGAAGGGAGGGAAGAAAGGAGGGTGACTAAAGCGTGCCTCCCATGAGAGGAATGAGAACAAGGATGGTTAACAGAACTCTATGAAAAGATTCAGATCCAAGTTCAGGTTCCAATTACACTACAACCTGTGTGACCCCAGATAAGCTGCTCTACAGCCAGGGCCTCACTGCCAAGGCAGGGCACTGGGTGATCTCTGAAGTCCCTGCTGCTGTACAGGAATTGCAGCCTTCCTGGGTCACAGTCCCTTACACCCTCTGAGGAGCAGGGCAAGGCACGTGGGGCACGCGGGAATGAACGCATCAACCAATCCCACCGCCGTCCTCCACCACTTCTCATATACCGCTAATAGGTTTCATTTCTTTCACCTTTTCTCGTTCTAATTCGTTGAGGGTTTGGTCCTGTTCCCAGGCTGAGTGTCTGCTTTACTTTGCTAAGAAGATTAAACAGAAAGAAAGAAAACCAGTGGTGCGCGTCTCCATGGAAGAAACAGCATTGGACCAACAGGCTGGCCTGGATAGAAGCTCGGTGCAGCCTCAGTGCTTCAGGGAACACACACGTCTTGGTGGCGCTACTGCTGACAGGACGCACTGCTCTGTGGACATGGCCTTGGCTCTTTTTTAAACTGGTCATGGGCCAGACTAGGGATGGGCTTTAAATCACATACAAATATGCCCACTTTCAAGGGTGAGACAGGCCTCCAAAAGCTCAGATAAGCGGCCAGTTTGGCCAAGAATTGCCCAGTCTTCAGCTAATGGAAGGAAGAAAGACAAGTCTATAAAAAGTCTCAATCCCCAGAAAAGAATTTTCCAGTGATCTGATAACTTTGCTTGGAGGCCCAAGCTTTGATCTCCTTGACTGGAATCAGATGCAAACTTGGGTTCTTTTCACACCACTGGCAGCCAGATAGACACGGGGTATTAGGTACTATATTAAGTAAAATGTAAAAGAATCTTGGGTTCATTTTCTTTTGTCTTTTCCTTTGGTTTTCCTAATGAGATAGTCATGAACAAAAGGCTGACACTATTCTTCAAGGGTAGCAGGTTATTCTTTACTGATTTATATTTGTTTTTAATGCACTATGTTTTGGGGGTTGTTTCTGGGGGCTTTTGTTGCTGTTACTAGAAAACAAGAAATTGAAAAGTGCAGCTTCTCAGATGAACCACCAGATGGTGCTGTGAGGTCGCAGCATGGGGTCCACCATCTTTACCGAAGAAACCCGCCTGCAGAAGCAAGCCAGCCAGTCCACACGCAACTAATGTGAGCAGGGCAGTAGTGCAGGTATTTTTGTAACTATAAACCTAAGTAAATGGGTTAAGTCAGTGGTCAGCAAACTCATTAGTCAACAGAGCCAAATATCAACAGTACAATGATTGAAATTTCT